ATTGTTGAAACAGAAAAGCAGCCATTTAATATGGGAAAATGTCCATCCATTCAAAACTTCGATAATGAGAAATGATTTTGTTAGCATTGTGACATTTTCTTACATTTAGCAAGGAGAAAGAAAATTATTCAAAAAAGAATAAAGCCTACAAATTAATGCATTCCTCTTCTCCACACACAAACAATATTGTGGAATTCTAAGACTGGTAAGTGAATATAGCCACTTAACAGAGCTGTTTATTCTCCCTTGTCTCTGTCACCTTCTCAATTAACCGATAAATGTATACGATACTTATTCAACTTTTAGATGTTTACTAGATACACTGTGAATTTCAAGAAATACGTGGTGTATTTCCTCTTCACTTCCTCCAGATTTTACTCCTTTTCTTTCCTTTATTATTTCTTCATTTAAAACATTCTCAGAGAACAAAAAGCATGAACTCAAAAATTCACTTGCAGTTCTGAAGGCAGAGAGAGGGGAATACTTCCTTTATCATCCAGATTTATGCAACCCAAGCAGAAACATAGCCTGAATGTATGGCCTATATCCCATTATTTCAGGGCTTCTGAGGAGGAGAACAGAAATGGATCTAATGGAGAGGTAGGGGCTTAGACACAGGTGAACCTGAGGAGGCGTTCATAATGGGCTAATATGTATTAGGGCTTCAGGGTCAGTGGGAGGCCCTTGAGCTTAGGCACACATCCAGCTAATATTAAGGAGTTAATGTTGGGAGCTAATATTAAGGAGTCCATAAACAGATAAATGGCGTTTGGTGGACTTAACAAATCCTGACATGAATTAGCAGCTAGTAATCTGAGGAGGAAGTACAGAATACTAGAAAACTCTACACAATTACTTGTATAATTAGTCACATATGGGTATGGCGACTTAACACTGTTTTGCTAATTTTGGGGTTTTATTCATATTCTGCAATAGGTGTTTATTAATTCTGAGATCAGGGGGAAATACTTCAATAGCAAAGCATCTTTATATAGAAATTGGTTACCAAAATGTTGTTAAAATGTACTTGTCTTATGGTTATTATATTTATAGACCTCTATCCAAAGAAGTACAATACTATTGTTTAAAAAGACCTTCTCTATATTTTATATTTAAGGGCCTCTCTTTCAGTCAGGCTGGGTAAGGCACAGGTACCTGAAACTTGAGAAGGAATAACATATATAGGCAAATTCAGTTAGAATCTTTGGCTCTCTGACTTATGAGTTATCAATTATTTTGTGGACATGAAAATAGTTCCCACTCTGATTGAAGAAAGATAAACACAGGTGCTATGTTTGAATGTTTGTGTCCCCCCTGACATTTGCATTGAAATTTAATCCCCAGTGTTCAGAGGTGGAGCCTTCAGGAGGTGATTAGACCATGTGGGGTCCACCCTCGTGGGAGGATTAGAGCCTCATAAAAAGGCTCTTGGGAACTAGCTAGTCCCTTGTTTGCCTTCTGCCTGCTGCCATGTGAGGATGCAGTCAAAAGGCCTTCACCAGACACTGAATGCTGGCATCTTCATTTTGGACTTTACAGTCTTTAGAACCATAGGAAATAATTTTCTTTTGTTTATGAATTACCCAGTCTCAGCTATTTTGTTGTAGCAGCACAAATAGACAAAGACAAGTGTGAAAAAAAATGGTGATCTAGATTACCAATCATTCCTTGTCAAAGACATAAGTGAAATTACAATTTATTGAATGCCTACTGTGTGCTAAGTACTACACTACATGGCTTATGTAAGTCATTTTATTTATTCCCAACAATCCAGAGAAATATTATTGATCTCATTTTAGAGATAAAGAAAGTGAGACCAGAAAGGTTTGATTACTTAATTATTGGCTTAAGGACACATAGCTAGTAGCTGTTGAAGTTGGAATCAATGATTGATCTCAAATCTGTGCTCTTTGTACTACACTACAGTGGACAATTTGATTCTATTCCAACTGTTATAGTCAGTGACTTCAAATCAAAGCTTTTTTCTACCCTGATTTCCTATTTCACAAAACTAGTTTTATGATTTATAAAATCCACCTGTTCCTGGAGTGAATACACAAAGAGGAGAGTTGCAAATTCTAAGAGGTCTTGAAAGTCTCATCAGTGCAGTAACTAGTGTTCATCTCTGTGCACAAAAATAGGCTCTACCTTGTTTTTGTCAGATCTTGTCCTATCAATGGGCATTTATCTTTTAAGATCATAGCTTTTCAAATTTGATAGAGGTATTTATAGAGGATCTTTCTTACTAAATACCACATGAAAGGCAAATAAAATCTTGAGACCCTAAACTCACTATGCCAAAGGGAACAGTTAAGCTTCAGAACTGAGTCGTGCAAAACTGTCTCCCATTTTGTTCTTAAATAATAGCTGCGAAGATAGGATGCCACACATCTTCCCAGGGAGCCCACCTCACAATTTTCTCACAGGAAAATTCCTTGTGGGCTGGAAGATCTTTATCCTAAAAGAGAGTTCTGTTGAATTCCACCCTGACAATGTAAATCAGCAGCTTATTGTTACAGGTATGGATAAAGACTGAACTAAGAGTCATTCCCCCCTCACCTGAGACAAATGCATATCTGACTGTGTCCTCTATTCTATGTTTATCTTATGTAAAAATGCAGATTCACTGAGTGGAGAGGAATGCGTAGTTGACTATTCCTCTACTCCTCTTTTCAGATGTAAAATGTGAATTTAGTGAATGCTAATCAAGGCCTCAAAAGAATGCACCCACTTGCCTTATTGATCTACCATCCCCCTTTTGCTTTCCTCTTTCCCCTACTAACCTTTCTTTCCCCTTTAATTATTGAAGTACCAACCTCTTTGGAAAAAGTATAGGCCACTGATCCTACTGTGGCTTGTGTCTCTTTTTCCCTGGGTATGTTCTCAATTGCAGCAAAATAAACCTCTAAATTGATGGAAACATGCCTCAGTCATTATTCTTTGGTTTTACAAGAACAACTTTCTCTCCAAATCCTAACATATTGTTAGAGTTTGAGGAGGTTAAAAAATGACACTCTTACTGATACAATAATCGATAGAAAAATTATTTAGGTAGTGAGGGCAAGAGAGTCCTTGACAGGGCTTCCCTTCCAACAAAAAGCAGCCAAAGAAATGATTTGTTTTTTCTTTTTCTTTTTCTTTTCTTTTCTTTTCTTCTTCTTCTTCTTCTTTTTTTTTTTTTTTTTGGAGACGAGTCTCACTGTTGCCCAGGCTGGAGTGTAGTGGTATGATCTCGGTTCATTGCAACCTCCACCTCCCGGGTTCCAACAATTCTCCTGCCTCAGTCTCCCAAGTAGCTGGGACTACAGACACACGCCACCACTCCTGGCTATTTTTTTTGTATTTTTAGTAGAGATGGGGTTTCACCATGTTAGCCAGGATGGTCCCGATCTCCTGACCTCGTGATCTGCCTGCCTCGGCCTCCCAAAGTGCTGGGATTACAGGCGTAAGTAAGCCCTTGCACCTAGCCTCATTTTTTTTTTTTCCTAACGAAGAGCATACAGAAATATTAAGCTACAAACGTAGGTAAGAAAGCTGGAAACTTGCATGGGGGGATGCCTGCAGCTACACCAGAAGAAAAGGTGTACCTGGGGGCCAGGCATGTCCACCATGGAAGCTCCATCTTCCCTTTTTTGTTAGCACATGTACAGTAAGAAAGAAATGGGCAGCATGGTGCAGCTCAGGCCAGAGGGAGTAGCTGCTTGTCCTCACTCAAAATAACATATACTGAATTTGGATTTTCTTTCCCCGTCACCGTTACTGTCCTAGCATCACATCCCTTGGATTCTCTGAACGCCTTATTGCATTCCACACAAAAATGATGTGTTCTCCAACCAAGGAGGTCACCTCACCATGCTAGTGGAGTCTTATGGATAGTGCTAATGCTCATGGAATCCAGTGACCTTTCCATGTTTCACCACCTAGGATCAGCTGACCTTATACAATATCACTCTGATCTATTGCAGTTTTAGGACAAGCTCAAGTTGGGAGACATCTTTAGAGGCTAAGGTGCTCCTCTGAAAAGTGGCCTCCCAACCATTTTTCTCCCAAACTAAAATTTCAGTTAATAAAATATGTGAAGATGAAGCCCTCACAGTTGCACTTAATAATTCACACTCAAAATTTAGCTGCTCCACACTGCCAGCTAGGCATTACTAATTTAGGGGTTTTAGAGCCCTGGAGAGATCAAGTCTTCCTACTGGAACTTCTGCATCCTGAGGGGCTTCTCTTCTTCCCTAGCTGGGCTGAAAGACTCCAGTAGTCCACTTGTAGCAGCCACAGGCTGAACTCTCTAAAATCTGTTCTTGTTTTTGTTTTTTTAAATACTCAGTCAACTGGCCAAAAAAACACCTCCCCACGTAAAACTATGAATTAAAACTCTCAGGAGGTAACAGACTACAGGGTGAAGTTGAAAGAGAAGGAAGGAAGGGAGGAAAAAATACTATAGAGTGAGAAAGTGGAGTTCCTGGGCAACTAGCTTTATATAAAAGGCAAGTATGTACTAGGAAAATCTGTCATTGATTTCCCATTTATCTGCTGTGCCATAAACCTCAGTTAACTTTTATAGTAACTCCTCATGTCTCCAGCAAACACCCAGAATCCTGCAAAATGAATGACCAGAATCCATCTATGGCATTGAGAGCTGTATGGGCAAGGAGAAGTTTAGCGTAATACCTCCCTCTCACCTTTGCCCTCCCCTACACTTCTAATTAGATGACTCTTTATTAGACTTTCTTTTTTCAATCAGCATAGTAATGTGCCAAAATCACACATTGTCTAACGGTTGTGGAGTGGTCTTTATTTTATGTCAGTTACCAATTCGTCACAGAGAACATAATTCCCACTTCATAAACTTCAGTTATCTAAGGAATTTGGGGTTTTCCATTCTTATCTAGAAGGCAAGAAGGGTTGTTAGGAATAATCACAGTGAAGATATGTACAAGTAAAACTGCTCAAGCACCCATTCTGTTTAGCAGAAGTGAGACAGGTATGCATGGGGCAATGTAAGGAATTAATTTATATTCAGTTCTAAAGCTGAACGAGGGGGACAAGCCGTGTCACATGGTCCACAACTGCCGCAGGAGCTCAGTTATTTTGGATTACATTTTCAATCCAGGGTACATAGTAAAAAATTTTGGCATAGATGCCAACATCGGCTCTCAAAACACATCCATCCGCAAAAGACAGGATTCCTTGAAGCATCCCATTGCAGATTGCCGGGGCAGCAGAAACTTCCTGCCAGGAAAACAATCATAACAGCAACAAAAAAGCAGGTTATCTTTCTGGCAAGACAGAAGGAAGAAAATGGGAAAATTAAAGCATGGAGAGTATTTTACCTTGCAGGGCTGCCTCCTTCCTGGCACGATGCCCACACACAGCATATTTTCCCTGATGTTGTAGGTTTGATAGGCATCGCAGCACTGAGGCTTGGAGATTACAGAGATGTTCACAGTTTGCAGTGAATCAGGTTCCTTGTCTAAAGAAAAGACAGAAGTCAGACTTCCTTAAGAGTTCTCTTAGGTATTAAACCTTCTTCTAAAAAACTTTTCTTCCCCTGCCATCAGAAATTAAAAGAGATCAAACATTCAGAGAAATCAGAACTGTGGCACTTAGGACAACGAAGGTGCAGAAGATGATCAGATTAACAATTTCTTATGACGCAAATGTCTGACCTTATAAAAGCGATCAAATTCTTGGAAGTTAGATGTAAATATGAGACACTCCTGCAATGAAATGAAACACTTTGTTTTAAACTTTTTTGGAAATTTGGCTGGGCACAGTGGCTCACGCCTGTAATCCCAGCACTTTGGGAGGCCCAGACAGGCGGATCACCTGAGGTCAGGAGTTCGAGACCAGCTTGGCCAACATGGTAAAACCCTCTCTCTACTAAAAGTAGAAAAATTAGCTGAGTGTGGTGCTGAGGGCCTGTAATCCCAGCTACTTGGGAGGCAGGAGAATCACTGGAATTTGGGAGGTGGAGGTTGCTGTGAGCTGAGACCCTGCCATTGCACTCCAGCCTGGGTGACAAGAGACTCCATCTCAAAAAAAAAAAACTTTTCTCGAAATTTAAGCATTCAAAGAGTTTCCTTTGACATGTAATTTTTAGAATCTGGAGGAATTTACAGATATCTGGCCTACTTTCTCATTTGTCAGGTCAAAACAAAACCAAGTATCTGCACAAAAAAGTCACTGAAAAAACAGTTTTCTTAAACATATAAAGCTAGTATGTGGTAAAGCTGGGATTTAAAACTGGGTTTCCTGGTTCCTAATTAAAGTTCTTTTCTTTATGTCAATGGTCCACAAAGTGTGAACTGTGCACACTTATAACAAAATTTGTCCAATCTGAAACAAAATGAGAAAAGCAACAAAGTAGTATGAACACATGTGGCACATGTTCTTTCCACAGACGTTTCTTTGGGAAGAAGTGCTGAATTTTAAGATTTTTTTTTTAATAATGGAGGAGTATGTTTAATGTTTTTATTTGAAAATAATGTGTTAGGTCTTGAAAAGAAAATGTTTGAGGTCTTTCACTTTATTTTCCAAGCAATAATTTCACGGCTAAACATTTCTTTTGGGAATACTTCCGTAGGAAATTCTTACTTAACTACTTCATGAGCCAGATAAAAATAAGATGCATTTTTTTTGAAGTTATATCTCGTTTTGACCCATGTGCCATAACCCAGATGAATCAAACATACTGGTCACCGAAAGGACATTTGGCTCTTTCCAAAAATCAGATTGACTGTCAGAGGACAAATAATTTCTACTTCTTAATATATGCAAGAAAATGTGCTCCAAATCTGAAGGTATTTACTAAGCAGTAGATTTAAAAGGCTTGAATCATGGCAACAATGATAGAGTAAGTATATATCTGCCCATTGGCTTCTATAAAAAGAAAGTGGTGATGGATAGATGAATGTAACCTGACAGGCTTGTTTCAAATAAAACTCCTTTTCACACTATGGTATCTAGTGTATGATGTGTATTATACATACTCAAACTTATGAGTAAAGTTGCATTAATAATTCTCCCTGAGGGATTATATCATTGTTTTATTTTGCTAAAAGTTAATCAACTCCCCTTCACCACTACTCTCAACTCTCATAATTAACAACTATAGGCAGTTAATTAGGGTTTGCATAAAAATTTGGAGATGGGGTAATGGGCAGATGGGGATGCAACTTAGAAAACAGAAAGCTGCGTTGAGTTGTGGGAGTTTTTTATGGAATATGAAATATGAGGCATAGAAAAAAGTTTAGATAGAATATCTAGTTCAGGAGTTTCAATTTATGTATAGAATATTTTCATTGATAAAAATAATGGGAACTCTTTGTCAGTTTTCTGAAGAAATGAGTGAATGCTTAGAATGTTACCAGTTAAAAATGTTGATTTCAGAAGTTCTTCTTAAAGTTTTAACTGTGTATCTTTATTACAATCTTTCATAAGGAAGTTCTATCTCATTTAGTAAAATATGATGCATTGATTTTACATTTAGTACATTGATATTTATTTCAAGTTGCTTTATTGCCTGAAATGGTTTGAAAATACACAACGTCGTAGTCTGCTTTATTTTAGAGTTAAGGAAATTGAGGCTCCAAGGTAAAATGATCTGCTGTCACATAGAAAATTAGGATTAGAATACAAATGTTTTCTTTCCACTAAAACCGCTTCTACCATATATGAAAGAGAAAATGATAGAAAGATACAGTGAGTGAGTAAAAAACCCAAAAACCTTGAAGCACTCCTTCAGTGAGGTACAGAGAAAAGGAAAGGGGAGAAAGAGGATGAATAAAGTGGTTAGAGGAAAGCTTCACTAGGCAGAATTGAAGAAGCCAAGAGTTGCAAAGGTGTAGAAGCATGTCTAATTCTGAGAGAACGTTGTCTTTAACTCACAGATGTCACACACGTTGTAGCTCCAGGTGGAGACAGAGCACATGGTATTCTCAGAGATAGTTTGGTAGGGCAGGTTGGCTAGTTTCACATAGTCGTTGAGTTCAGCCTCTGTTTTCAGCTTGATGAGCATGAGGTCATGATCGATAGACGTGATTGAGAAGCGTGGGTGATGAATCATCTTCTCATAGCCAATCACTTGCAGATGGTTTTCACTGGAGTCTGCTGGGATTGTAACCCCCAGTATCACCCGAAGCTTTCTGGAACAATATAGACGTTTATGAGTGGACTTAACAGAGATGGCTTCTCCGTCTTTGTGAGCCTATATTATTATGTTATTCCTCCCCACAGACCTTTTTCTGTACCCTCCTATGTCTCCCAAAGGCCTTTCTAATCCCATTTAATTGGGAGATGGTCTCAGAGAGTGAGAGTCTGTGCCCAACCTGAGAACCAAAAGAATGGAATACCTTTGAAGGCTTATCACTCACGGTAAATTGCAGTGTGCAGCTGTGATCACCCAAAGTGGGTGGATCAGGACTCCAGCGCAGGGCAAGTAGTCAGATTTCAAGTAGACCAAGTAGGGAGGAGTGGAACTGACTGTGTAATCTGGATTAAAAGCCAAAGCAACTGGAAAGAGAAGCATAGAAAAGAAATTCCAAGATTTCACTAGAAGAACTTCAGGAAAGTCATTTAATAGGCTCCAAGTTCCCCTACCCTTTTCTCTAGCAACTTTATCTGTAAACTAAATCTGTAAAATGACTTACTTTGTTCTAAAACGTGAAGAAAATGATAAATGGTAGAAACATATCTCTTTTGAAAAACAAAAAGTGTTTGACTTTTTCGTTGTCAATAAAGTCTTTCAAATTAAATGTTAAACTTTCTTAAATACCTTCCACAATTTAGTGGGTTGTATGCTAAGTCAATGCATTTTTTTTTACTAGCAATTTTAGAATGCTTTAATAAGTCTTATCTCTTTTTCCCAACAACAACTCAAGACAGAATTATGTAAGTATCACGACAAGAACAGACCAAATGCTAAGAGTCTGAGGAGGGGACAAATAATTTATTGTTTTAACAAATATACATTGAGCACCTACTATATGTCAAGCTCTGTTTTAGGAGCTTGGGCTAAATAGTGAACAAAGTAGATATTCCTGCTCTCATTTACTACGATTAATGAATATATTCAGTAATAACAAACACAACACACACATAAACTATGTAGGATATTAAATGGTGATTAGTGCTCTGGAAAAACACACAAGTAAACTATATATGATGTTAAATGTTGATTAGTGCTATGGAAATAAAAGTAGGACAGGGAAAGAGAGAAAGGTATTACCAATTGTGTGTTGGGGGAGAAGGAGGAGTATCAGGTGGTATTTGTTTGTTGTTTGTTTGAGACAGGATCTCACTCTGTTGCCCAGATTGGAATGCAGTGGCAAGATCAGACTCACTGCAGCCTCAACCTCCTGGGCTCAAGCAATCCTCCTGAGTAGCTTGGACTACAGGTGTGTGCCACTACATCTGGCTAATTTTTAAATTTTTGAATTTTTTTTATAGAGATGGAGTCTTGCTATGTTGCCCAGGCTGGTCTCAAACTCTTGGGCTCAAGTGATCCTCCCACCTCAGCTTCCCAAAGTGCTGGGATTATAGGTGTGAGCCACCACATCCAGCCTCAGGTAATATTAAACCAGTCATCAGAGTAGAACTTCATGGGCAATGTTGAACAATAACATGAAGATGGGGGAAGTTGCATAGTCAAATATCTGGGTGAAGGGACTCCAGGCAGAGGAAACAGCTGCAACATGGGTCCTGAGGCTTATGTCCGTTACGTCACAGAGGCCATGGCTGCTGATCCAGAGTGAACGAAGGGGAGCAGAGCAGGAAAGGGGCTCAAAGGTGAATGGAGGGTTTTGTAGACCATTGTAAGAACTCGGCCTTGTTTCCTGAGTACAAATGGAACCACTCAAGGATTTGTGCAAAGAAGTGATGACAGTCTCCTCATGGAGAACCTGTAGAGTGCAGAAGTATAGAGGTAGAGGGATCTCTTAGGAGAATAATTTGCTAATCCAGGCAAGAGGTGGTGGCTTGGATCATCGTGAGCAGTGGAGACAGTGAGATGTGATTGGATTTAGGATACGTTTAGAAGACAAAGCCAATAACGTTTTTCTAAGAGATCAAATGTGGGGTATGAGAGAAAGAGAAGATTTATGAATAAACCTGGGTTTATGCCTAAGTAACAGGAACTGTGCCAGGAGATATCTGACTCTTCAATGTTCTGCTGTGCCCTCTGTGGTGCACAACATCAATTCTGTTGCAGGCAGGTCCAGAGTCAGGTCTTAGGAGTGGGTCTGGTATTTGAGTGACAATGTCCACACCTCCCCCAAAAGCACATAAGCAATCCTCCTGTGGCAGGCAGGCAGGCACTATCACAGGAGGAAACTTGATGGGAACGGGGCAGTGGGGAGGGACAGAGAACCATTCTACACTTGAGTTCTGGAATGATACCTCTCGCCGTTACCCATCTTTCATGCTTTTCCCAGGATTTCTCTTTGGTGAGTAAAGAGACAAATATGCACACACTCACCAGTCAGATTCAAGAGAGCCCAAAGGAGGATAAACTTCATGTTGATGTTGAAAGCCCGGTTTAGCTGCAGTCTCTGGAAAACATGGAAGAGAGAGAGAAAACGACTAAATAAAATAAAGCAAGATTCTAGAATTGGAAAAATATATCATCTGAATTATTTTAGTAGCAAGATTCAGTTTTAGAAATGGTGTCCATTACTCAGGGGAGGGCGTAATGTCATCTGTCAGAGAGATAAGAATCGAATCAAGTGATTGGTCCCCAGTACGGTTGAAATGATTCTGGAATTCAGAGTTCTGCACTCCGTCTTCAGGGAAGAAAGTACCAAAGCTAAGATAAGTTGAAGTTCATGATGTCTCTATAGCCACCTCCTGTCTGGTCTCCTTTTTGCCAGCCTTGGCAGGCAGGTGCCCCTTTAAACTATGTGTGGGCTGCTGCCCCTCCTGCCTGTGTGATGCTATCCCCTACTATGAGATGGCATTTTTCTCCAGTGGACATAACGTAGCCCTGTGGAGCTGACATTGCTTCCTCTGCCTGACATTAAACTCCTCTTCGAAATACATTAACCTTTTCCTTCATGTCGCTCTTTATCCATTTATTCTGTGGACCAACCTACAAATTATCTTATGTATCTAACTTGTGCTAGGATCTGTGCTTGCTGTTGGGGTTGCCTCAATTTAAGGACTTCTTCCTTACCTTCCAAGGGCTTACAGACTTAAGAAAGATACTTAAGCTGACGGTTATGAAACAAAGTATTCAGGGCTAAAAATTGAGATATGCCACAGACTAGATACAAATATTTGCAAAACACATATCTGTTAAATAATTCATGTATAAGCAAATATTAAAATTCAACATTAAGAAAACAACACAACCTAAAAGTGGGCCAAAGATCCTTACCAAATGTTTTAGTCTGCTTGGACTACCAAAAAAAATACCACAGTCTAAGTGTCTTACACGACAGATAACTTACTTTCTTATAGTTCTGGAAGTCAGAAGTCCATGATCAAGGTGCTGTCAAATTCAGTTCTAGTGAGGCCTCTCTCCCTGGCTTGTGGATGATCACCTTCTTACCGTGTCCTCAAATGGCCTTTCCTCTGTGCACACAGAGAGAAAGAGGGAAAGAAAGCTCTCTGGTGACTCTTTTTATAAGGACACAAATCCTATTGGATCAGGGTCCCACCCTTCTAACCTAATTTAGCCTTAATTAGTTCCTTTTAGGCCCTATCAACTTTAATAGAGTTGCATTAAGGTTTAGGGCTTCAAACAGATATATTTTGCAGTGATGGGGAAGATAACATCAGAGAATATAAACAGATGGTAAATGGCATATGAAAAACTTCTTAACTTAGTATGTCTTTAGGGAATTACAACAACAATAGGATACCACTACATACCCTGTGGAAGGGCTTAAATCCAAAGAGTGAAAAAAAACAGATGCTAGTGAGGATATGAAGTATCAGGAACTGATGCTGGTGAGAATTTATTGCTGATGAGAGTGCCAAATGGTACAGTCACTTCAGAAAATAGTTTGGAGGTTTCTTATTAAGCTCAACATAATCTTACTATATGACACAGCTATTACACTTCTTGATACACCAAAAGATTTGAAAACTTGTCTTCACAAGAAATCCTACACATAAATATTTATAACGTCTTTGTTCAAAGTTGCCAAATCTTGGAAGCAACCAACATGTCCTTCAATAGACAAATGGATAAGCAAAGTGTGATTCATCCGTATAATGAAATGTTATTCAGAGATTTTATGATTTAAAAAACTTAACTCTCAAGTCATGAAAAGACAAGGAGTAAACTTATATGCATGTTGCTAAGTGAAAAGAGCTAGTCTGAAAAGATTATATACCATACAATTCCAATTATATGACATTCTGGGGAAGGCAAAGCTATGAAGACATATGTGTATGCAAGAACCTTTTTCCTATAATGACTTCTTTTCCTCTGGATAGATACTGAGCAGAGCAATGGGATTGCTGGATCATATGGTAGATCTACTTTCAGTCCTTTAAGGAATCTCCACACTGTTTTCCATAGTGGTTGTACTAGTTTACAATCCCACCAACAGTGTAAAAGTGTTCCCTTTCCACCACATCCATTCCAGCATCTATTATTTTTTGATTTTTTGATTATTGCCATTCTTGCAGGAGAAAGGTGGCATCACACTGTGGTTTTGATTTGCATTTCCCTGATCACTAGTGACGTTGAGCATTTTTTTCATATGTTTTTTTGTCATTTGTATGTATTTTTTTAAAGAATTATCTATTCATGTCCTTAGCCCACTTTTTGATGGGATTATTTTTTTCTTGCTGATTTGTTTGAGTACTTTGTCGATTCTGAATATTAGTCCTTTGTCAGATATATAGATTGCAAAGATTTTCTCAGGGTTGTCTGTTTACTCTGCAGATTATTTCTTTTGCTGTGCAGAAGTTTTTTAGTTTAATTAAGTACCATCTATTTATCTTTGTTTTTGTTGCATTTGCTTTTGGGTTCTTGATCATAAAGTCTTTGTCTAAACCATTGTCTAGAAGGGTTTTTCCTATATTATCTTCTAGAAATTGTACGGTTTCAGGTCTCAGATTTAAGCCTTTGGTCTATCTTGAGTTGATTTTTGTGTAGAGTGAGAGATGAGACTAGTTTCATTCTTCTACATGTGGCTTACCAATTATCCTAGTACCATTTGTTGAGTTGGCTGTCGTTTCCCCACTTTGTATTTTTGTTTACTTTGTCGAAAATCAGTTGATTATAAGTATTTGGCTTTATTTCTGGGTTCTCTATTCTGTTCCATTGGGCTATATGCCTATTTTTATACCAGGACCATTCCGTTTTGGTGGCTATGATCTTATAGTATAGTTTGAAGTCAGGTAATGTGATACCTCCAGTTTTGTTCTTTTTGCTTAGTCTTGCTTTGGCTATGTGGGCTCTTTTTTGGTTCCACATGAATTTTAGAATTACTTTTTCTAGTTCTGTGAAGAATGATGGTGGTATTTTGGTGGGAATTGAATTGAATTTGTAGATTGCTTTTAGCAGTATGATCATTTTCACAATATTTATTCTACTCATCCATGGGCATGGAATGTGTTTTCATTTGTTTGTGTCTTCTATGATTTCTTTCAGCAGTGTTTTGTAGTTTTCTCTGTCGAGGTATTTCACCTCCTTGGTTAACTATATTCTTTTTTTTCTTTTTTTAGTTAATTAATTAATTTATTTTTTTGGCAGCTATTGTAAAAGGGATTGAGCTCTTGATTTGATTCTCAGTTGCTGTTGGTGCATAGCAGTGCTACTTATTTGTGTACATTAGTTTTGTGTCCTGAAACTTTGCTGAATTCATATACCAGTTCTAGGAGCTTTTTGGATGAGTCTTTAGCGTTTTCTAGGTATGCGATCATGTCATCAGCAAACAGTGAGAGTTTGACTTTCTCATTACTAATTTGGATGCCATTTATTTCTTTCTCTTGTCTGATTGCTCTGGCTAGGACTTTCAGTACTATGTTGAATAGAAGTGATGAAAGTGGGCACCCTTGTCTTATTCCATTTCTTAGGAGGAATGCTTTCAACTTTTCCCAATTCTGTATAATGGCTGTGGGTTTGTTATAGACAGCTTTTATTACCTTAGGGTACGTCCCTTCTATACCACATTTTGCCAATTTTGCTAAGGGTGTTAATCATAAAGAGATGTTGGATTTTGTCAAATGCTTTTTCTGCATCTACTGAGATAATCATGTGATTTTTGTTTTAATTCTTTTTATATGACATATCACATTGGTTGCCTTGCAGATGTTAAATGATCCCTGCATCCTTAGTATGAAACCCACTTGATCATGGTGGATTATCTTTTTAATATGCTGTTGGATTCTGTTAGCTAGTATTTTGTTGAGGATTTTTGCATCCATATTCATCATGGATATTGGCCTGTAGTTTTCTTTTTTGTTATGTCCTTTCCTGGTTTTGATATTAGGGTGATACTGCCTTCATAGAATGATTTAGAGAGGATTCCCTTTTTGGAATAGCATCAATATCTTTTGGAATAATGTCAGTAGGATTGGTACCAATTCTTCTTTGAATGTCTGATAGAATTCAGCTGTGAATCTATCTGATCCTGGACTTTTTTTGTTGGCAACTTTTTAATTAACATTTCAATCTTACTGCTTGTTATTGGTCTGTTCAGAGTTTCTATTTCTTCTCGGTTTAATCTAGGAGGGTTGTATATTTCCAGGAATGTATCCATCTCCTCTAGATTTTCTAGTTTATGTATGTGAAGGTGTTCATAGTAGCCTTGAATGATCTTTTGTATTTCTGTGGTATCAGTTGTAATGTCTCCCATTTCATTTCTAGTTGAGCTTATCTGGATCTTCCCTTTTCTTTTCTTGGTTAATCTCACTAATAGTCTATCAATTCTATTTATCTTTTCAAAGAAACAGGTTTTTTTTTCATTTTTGTTTTGTATTTTCTTTTGTTGTTATTTCCATCTCATTTACTTTTGCTCTAATCTTGGTTATTTCTTTTCTTCTTCTGGGTTTGGGTTTGGTTTATTCTTGTTTCTCTAGTTCCTTGAGGTGTAACCTTAGATTGTCTATTTGTGCAATTTCACACTTTTTGATGTAGGCATTTAATTCTATGAACTTTCCTCTTGCATCTCTTTTGCTGTATACCTGAGATTTTGATAGGTTGTGTCACTATTATTGTTCAGTTCAAAGAATTTTTAAACTTCCATCTTGATTTCATTGTTGATCCAGTGATTGTTCAGGAGCAGGTTATTTAATTTCCATGTATTTGCATGATTTGGGGGGTTTCTTTTGGAGTTGATTTCTAATTTTATTCCACTGTGGTCTGAGAGAGTACTTGATATAATTTCGATTTCCTTGAATTTGTTGAGATTTGTTTTGTGACCTATTAGAAAGTTCCATGTACTGATGAAAAGAATATATATTCTGCAGTTGTTGGGTAGAATGTTCTGTAAATATCTGTTAAGTCCATTTGTTCTTGGGTATAATTTAAGTTCATTTTTTTGTTGTTGTTGACTTTCTG